GATGGTGGCATTGTTTTTCCAGTGCACCAGGTGGCAGAGCGGGTGGAGGCCCTGGGGCAGTTTGTCATGAAGACCAGAAGGACCCTCAAAGGCCACGGGAACAAAGTCCTGTGCATGGACTGGTGCAAAGACAAGAGGAGGATCGTGAGCTCGTCCCAGGTACGTCGCATCTGCTGCGTAACGGGTGAGCGGGTCTTCGATATTCCAGCTAAGGGGGAAAGAGCTGTCCCTCTCAGAAAGCCCTTTGCTGATCTTCGTGACTTTGCTCATTCTCCAGAGGACAACGATTTAGCATAAACAATTCTCTTGTACACTACAGAACTCCACTCATTTGGGTAGATTTGGAATCGCTAATTGTTAAAACATTGTAAACCATTCCTGAGCATATTTCTAGGTCTTATTTGTGCGTGAAACCATTTTTAAAATAATTTCTTTTTTTTCCAACTTGAGGACATACGATCCCATCAATGGCTTTCTTTCAACGTAAGGAGTTTAGCAATTCTTACGTCTTAAAGAACTAACTTAAGATACATATTTTATGAAGTATAATTTTTACATTCATTTTATATACTTTACATGGTGTATGTTACATCTTGTATGTTAGTTATCTACATTACTCCAGAATTTAGTAGCTTAAAACAAGTATTTATGATGTCACATGGTTTCTGAGACAGTGAGCATCCAGGAAGGGCTTGGCTGGGTGGTTCTGGCTCCGGGTCTCTCGGGAGTTGCTGGGAAGATGTTGGTCAGGGCTGCGCTCCTCCGGCTTGCCCGGGGTGGAGACTCACTTCCAAGATGCCTCCCTCGCATGGCTCTTGGCCGGAGGCCTCAGTTCCTCACCATGTGGACCATGTAGCTCACAATACAGGAGCTGCCTCCCCTAGAGCAGGGGATCCCAGGGAGGGAGACAGAGGCAGAGCCGCGCTGTATTTCGTGACCATCCATCGCCTCTGTCGTATTTACACAGACAGCCCTAAGGCTGCGCAGTGAGGGAGACTGCACAAAGGTGTGAGAATCAAGAGGCTGGGGTGGCCGGGGACTCACTTGGAGGCCGGCTCCCACAGCTTGGTACTTTCAATGTCTACTTTTATGTTGCATGTATTGATCATAAAACTGTAAATTAAAGCCACATGAGATATTCTGAAAATCCTATTTTTATGATCAGTGTAGGTCGCCCCCACCCCTGCCTTCTGCACAGCTTTTTCAAAAGAGGGTTGTTTCTTTAATAACCCTTATAAGTATAAAACTATACATATTCTAGATAATCCACAAGCTGTGACATCTATGTCAGTACGGCATTTGATAGGACAGATTTTATTAATTGCCTGGATTACCTACAAATCGAGTATGTCCCATTGCACTTGCTTTTTTCTGCTTTCAGAATTAATGTATCACTTATGTATTTTACCACTGGAAAACAGAACAAAGAAAACGCTTTTACTCCCACTGTACTATCACAGCCATTATTACTGTTTTAGAGCGTTTCTGGCCATTCTGTTTCAAGTGCTCATTTTTACAAAATGGTTATTGAGACGTCTGTGTTGCTACCTAGCCTTCTGGACTCCTTAAATCCTTACAAGGTGTGCTGCCTGTTCGGTTTTCTGTCACTCACGTGCTGCTGGGGGCACGGAGGCGGGGGAGGCAGGGCCTTCATCACGCCCTCTCCATCCCCGTCTTCTCCAGAGCTGGGGACGTGTGGATGTGGCGTGTGGGGAGGAGGCTGGAAAACAGAAGACTCTGGAACAGACTTTGACTCATCAGCAGCCTCTCCCTTAAAATGCAGGAGACTCATCACCGTGACCGCGGGTCTGGGGGCGGAGGCGCGTTCTCTGCAGGCGTGTAGGCTCCCGGCATGTAACTCTGTGCTCACATCCAGTCTAATGAGACTCCAGAGCGCACGGTGGCGGGGGGTGGGGACAGGCAGCCGGTGCGGTGGAGGACGCTGCTAAAGTGGGCACCGACGTGGGCAGGGCACCGAGTCAGTCCCCAGCAAGCGGGCCGTGGGCGTGGAGCCTGCTCTGTCTCTGCGCGAGAGGCTTTCCAGATCCGCCCACACGTCACGTGTGACCGTTCAGTCAGGAATTAGACCAGAAGAACCAGTGTGCTCAGGAGTCTTGGAAAGCCCCAAACCGCCGACTTTGACCTGGTTCCAGGGCCCCTCAGCTGCACACGACATTTACACAGAAGTCCTCTGTGGGATCCTGCAAAGCAGGCAGCTGTCACTTTAGAACCAGACATTGCTTCTGCCCCTAACTGGTATTTTCCAGCCTGCTTTACCCACCTCATTCACCAGATTCGGCTTCAGATGGCTTGAGTGATGGAAAAACCAAGCCTGCCACAGAGCCTGCAGGTTTACGTCCCTGGGGGTCTGCAGGGACCAGTGTGCTGGGGGAAGTGGCTCATCCATCCTCTTCCACTGTCTGCCCAGAGAACCTCACGCCACAGTCTGGCAGGTGATGGCTTTGTAGGGAGCAGGGCTTATGCGGGTTTACCCCTGGTGGGTCTGTATTACAAGTAGATGTCACTGTGGTCACTGCCAGCTGCAGCTGTGGTTTTCCAAGGAAAGTGGCAGTGTTGTCCGTGGCATCGCCAGCCAGGCGCTCACCCTGACAGCGAGTGTTCTTTGCTTACTGACCATCTGCCCACAGGCATCCTCACCAGTGTAGGTGCAAATCGCACGTTGTTCTCGGCGTAGGTGCGGGATGTCGGAGCAGGGAGCTGCAACATCGGTGAGCACCTGGAGAAGTTAGACTGATCTTGGGCCCACACAGCCCCCTCTGCAGCCGTCCACTGCAGAGAAGGCGACAGAGAGTGGGCGGGGTGCTCGTAGGTGGCGCTGCAGGGACGTGGACTCCAAGGCGAATGGGGGCAAGGGTGAGGTGGTAGGGGTGGCGGGGGGAGAAAGAGACTTGTTCACCTGTCAGCTACATAAGGTAATGTCAGGTTTAACTTTTCCTGTATAATTTTTTGACATTTAGGGTATGTTGGGGGACGATAGTGTACCAACAATTTGTGGTTGGTTTATAAGTGGTATAAAAGAAGCTTCTGAGTGTTGCTTCCTGTAGCCGTATCTATACAAGGTCCAGAACTGATCCTTTAGCCGGGCTGGAAGGTTCTGCCCCTCCCCTGCTTACTCCCTCTTTTTCATGGAGAGGTTTGAGGGTCCCGATTATCTGGATACTTACTCTGGCTCTCCCCGTCACACTGCCCGGCTGAACACATCTTTTATGAGGAGTTCTCAGTGGTTATCTGCAAGAACTGTTGACAACCCTGAACTGTTTACTCTTCTCCCCCCAGGATGGGAAGGTGATCGTGTGGGACTCCTTCACTACGAACAAGGTGAGGCGTCGTTCCCAGCCAGGTTCCAGGTGCTCCGGCCCTGTCCTGATTCCCCTCCAGGCACCCCTGCGAGTGGTTGCCCTGCCCCTCAGGATGGGAACCCCAAGAAGGCCCACCCATGTCTGAACAGCTCAGCTAGCCCACTGCAGCGTTTATTCCTCCCTCCTGCCCCGAGACATGCAGGCCAGGCCACTGCAGCGGTGCTGGTGCTAAACTGGGAACGGGCAGAGCGTGGAAACGTGTTACATTCACACGTGCAACTGCACACGTTATTTTTCTTCCGAGTGATGATAAGAGGTGCCAAAATTCTCAGTTATCGCCCCCTTCTCTGTCTTTGACCAGACTCCATAGCACGTGGTGGATGGGGAAGATGAGGCCGCAGTGGGGTCAAGCTGAAATGTCCTGTGGCGCAGAGGAGTCTGAGCCCCTTGCAAGTGTGGCCTGGGCACTCACGGCTCAAATTAGATCTACATTTAGAGTCTTAACTAAAGACTGAAGCCAAACCCTACGTGTGGGTACACTTGCATGCCGGCATTGTGTTGGCGTTTACAATAAAGAGTATCTTGTACTAAATATGGATTCCAATATTTATTTAGAAAGAAAGTCTTCCTTTTCGCCACATAAAGAAATGAGCCCTGTGTCTATGTCAAAGTGAACAGCTGCCACATTCTGCATTGTGGAATGCGTTTAGTAAATGTCGTGGGAGGCAGCTATTATGTGACCTGCTCAAGTGAGGGGCCAGAACCATTTTGCAGAGTAGAGTCCCTAATGATCAGGCTCCTGGGGAATAATAAAAATAACAGTTGGCACAGGGCTTTCCTAATTGTCACCTGCCTCCTTGGGAGCCTCTGCCCCTCCCAGCGCTGCTCAGTGTCTTCTGGATGTGTGGGGGTCGGTTTCGTCTGTTTACACCCCAGTATCGCGTAGAGCACGAACTGATTTCTAGGGAGCCAGGGGGTCGCTACTTGGGGCCCATGGCAGGGAGCGTAGCCGTTCTTCTCAAGGAGAGGGCCCGGATGTCCTGTGCTGAGAGTGGCTACCTCAGCTCCTTCTCTGGAGGGGAGCAGATTATTCTTGGTGTCTGAAAGGCTGCAAGACGGTGAGTGACGACAGAATTTTGGCAGGCGGTGTTGGGGCTGTGCCTCCCCACAAAAACTCAAAAAAGCGTAACAGAAAAGAAGACCTCACTTGAAGGTACATTGGAAATCATCTAGTTCCATCCGCTCACTCCACAGACAGAGAACGAGAGCAAGTAGGACAGACAGACAGCCTGCATGGGGTCCACATCGTGTTGGTGTCGGAACCAGGGCCAGGATCCATGTCTCCCATGGAAATGAGACCACAGGCCCAGAAGCTTTTGAAACGTGGCTTTTGTTGTTTGCTTATCTGCATGCAGGGGGATGCGGGTGACTCAGCCAGGAGCCAGGGACTGTTCCACTTAGTTCTTAATGCTTCCGTTTTACAGGTTCTCTTCCACCCAGGAGCACAACCCAGGCTCCCTCTCCCCCTCCCCCACCCCCATTTATACCTTCCCAGGAATGGCTTTAGGACCCACAGCAGACAGAGGCTCTTGTACACTCACAAGTAAACAAACTTATACATATAAAAAATCATTCAAGAGTATATTTAGAAAATGAGAATCTGAGAAAACAAGGTGAAATATATATTCGAAATGAGATTGTGACATACCTTTCAAAGAAAAAGAGCCCCAGTACTCAGGCAGAAGAAGAAAGGGAGTATATTATTAAGAAAGAAGTAGCCTGATGCGGTGGCTCATGCCTATGATCCCAGCTACTCAGGAGACTGAGACAGGAGGATCACTTGAGGCCAGCAGTTCGAGGCCAGCCTGGGCAACACAGCAAGATCCTGTGTTGCTAGAAACTCCTAGTTTCTACCAAAACTAGAAAAATTAGCTGGGTGTGGTGGTGCATACCTATAGTCCTAGCCACTCAGGAGGCTGAGGCAGGAGGATCATTTGAGCCCAGGAGTTCATGGCTGCAGTGATCTGTGATGATGCCACTGCACTCCAGCCTGGGAGACAGAGTGAGACTCTGTCACAAAAAAAAGTAAACCATGAAGAATTTTTTTTGCTAGTGGAGATTTTTAACTTTCAGAGTATGTGACATAAAGTTTGCTTGATTTGATTATGGAGCAGCTGAGTCCCCTCATCTGTCTCAGGCCAGTCTTTACCCCATACCACTTCCCTTGAAGCTATAATATAATTCAGTACAAACTCTCATGATTTTATTTTGTAAAAATTAATGTTAACAACCAAGCATGGTGGCTCACACTTATAATCCCAGCAACTCAGGAGGCTGAGGTGGGAGGATCACTTGAGTCCAAGAGTTTGAGACCAGCCTGGGCAGTATAGCAAGACCCTGTCTCTGAGAGAAAAAAACCAAATGTTTAAAAAAAAATAATAAATTTTAAGACCTTGTGTCGAGGTGCCTATCACTCTATGAACGGTACATGCTTTGTTTCAGGAGCATGCGGTCACTATGCCCTGCACGTGGGTGATGGCGTGTGCTTATGCCCCATCTGGATGCGCCATTGCTTGTGGGTAAGTTGGGGCTACAGCAGCTTTGCAGATTTCCTGTTAGCCATAAAATACTGTTCAGTGGGCAAAAACAAGCAAATAAGCAGGAACTCATAATGTTATGGAGTTTTTGTTAAATTTTCTCAGATATGATAATGATGCAGTGGATATATAGGAGAATATTCTTATTTTTAGGAGATGTAAATTTGCATGTTGAAGTATTTAGAAATAAAATGTCATGTCTGCAGTTTGAAATCAAGTGGTTTCGAATTTGCTTCTGCAAATATAACAAAATGTTAAGTCTGTGAAACTAGGTGAAGGGATCTAGGTATTTGTTGTACTTTTTTTTTCAATTTTACAATAGGTTTGAAAACCTTCAAAGTAGAAGTTGGAGAAAAGGTTATAATGTATGAGACTGCTCAAGAGAAATATTTTGTTACTCTGTGTTAACCTTTGATAACTTCTTTCTTTCCATGCTAGTGGTTTGGATAATAAGTGCTCTGTGTATCCATTGACGTTTGACAAAAATGAAAACATGGCTGCCAAAAAGAAGTCTGTCGCCATGCACACCAACTACCTGTCGGCCTGCAGCTTCACCAACTCTGACATGCAGGTCAGTCAGCGGCCCCGGTGTTAGGTCCGCCTGCCATAGAGCGCGAAAGAGGAGTTGCAGGAGAGGAAGCTTTGTGATGCAGCAGCTTTTTCTAAGAGGAATCTCCTGTTGTTTCTCATTGGTTATTATTATTATTTTAATAAAATCAGAAATGGGAAAATTGGGGCTACTGATATTGATAGACCATATTGAAAATTCTCCTCCGATTGACTTGGTGGGGCTGGGACTGGAGCAGGGAACTCTCTAGGGTGGTGGAAGTTACTATGTCCCAAGCTACAGAGCTTCAGAGTCGTATGTTTCATGCATCTTGCTGTACATACAGTCCTGTTTTAACAAATGCAAAAAAAAAATGCTTCAGATATGAAATTGTGCTCTACTTTGAATAAAACACAGTGAAAACAGTACAACTTTTTAACACTTGGACTAAGTTTTCTTTAGTGAGTTGTAAATGCATCCCATAGTTTTTTTATTCTCACTTATTCAGCAAACCTTCTTGCCACGTGCCACCCACATTGCCAGATACCACTTGGCTCTGGGGCTGAAAGCTCATCTCTGCCCTCAGGGACCTTCACCAAAACCAGTAATGATTGGGCAATGGGGAAAGCTGGGGAGCTCAGAGCAGGAGGGGGTGCCACAAACTTGCTGCTGCCAAGGAAGAAGGATGGCTGCCCCCCACCAGGGGGCCACTGAGTGAGAGAGCTTGGTGCGAGGTAGGTAGCCAGAGAGGTGGGCAGGGCCAGATCCCAGGGAAGATCTTGGCAGGTTACAGTGGCTACAACCAGATGTCCTTGGGCCTGAGGGGCAGCCAGAGCACCAGAGGACATTTAGTCTGGATAAAGGGAGCCTCCAAGGTATGCAGGGACAGTGGGTGGTCTGGCACCTGCAGTCCTGCAGGTAGAGAACCAGCAATCTGGCCACAGGTGCGGGCTCGGGGTTAAGGGGCACCTGTAGGTTAGAAAGTGCTTGCTTTCTAACAAGCAGCTGGCCAGAGGTGGAGGGCAGTCCCAGCTGGCTCCCTCTGCAGGAGCAGCCTGGAGGCAGAGCAAGGTGAAGGTCAGACTGCACCACCAGGTGTTGGCTCCACTATGCTCCCGCTGGTGATCCGAGACAAGGTTCGGATTTCTGTGTGCTTCGATTTTCTCACCTGTGCATGAGGATAGTAATAAATCATTCCTGTATAAAGTTTTCTGAGGACTGAATGAGATTAGTACAGTCATTGGAAACATCAATAAATGTTAGCTCTTTTTATTTTACTACTATTAATATTAACACAAAGCTGGGCGGTTCAGATACACAGTCTGGTTTGGGTACCACTGAACTGATGAACCTCGAGCTTCTTCCATTCCAGATCTAGGACGATAAAAGACGAACCGGCTAGTATGAGACTATGGTATTGAACCTGCCAATTCTCTGCATTCCAGGACAAATGAGTGACAATGAGCTAGGGGTTCTGTTCAGTGTATTTATCTGAATAAACGTTTGGTCTTTAAAATTTATTTTTATTTACCCTGTAATGGAAGATCACAAAAATATAAAACAAAAAAGTCCCTATTAGGAACTTACTTTTAAGCTATTAGTCTTGACAAGTAATTTGTCTAGTTGGTTTGCAGTGTTTTCTGCCAGGAGCAAGTATTTCCTGCAGCAAGCAGCTAAGTTATCTTACTTTGTGTTGTTTAACATAGAAGCAGGAAAGTTTGCCTGGTCCCAGAATTGTTTAACACAGGGACAGGGGATTAGAGACAGGAGATTATGTTGGTTTCATTCTTACTGTCAATCCTGTTAAAGCGAGTTCCAGGACAACAGAGACCAAGGCACAATCTTTCTGTAAACCCTAATGCCTTAGCAGAGCGCCTGCACATGGTCAGCACAAAGCAAATGTTAATTGAACCTGTGCGTGCTGTGAGTGTCCTCCAGCACCTACCAGTGGCCCTGGGGAGCCTCTGGGCAGCACCCTGCTCTGGGGAAAAGCAGCAACAGGAGAATGTGTCTAACAACACGATGCCCAGACCCTGCTGCCCCAGGTGTAACCAGCCTCAGCATCACCTGGAGCTTATGAGAAGTGTAAACTCTTAGGGCCCCCAGCCCAGACCCTTTATGTTATATTAGCAAGCAGCCGGTGATTTGTGTGCACATTAATGTCTGAGAAACACTTCAGGTTTCTGGCCTGCACGACAGTGGGAGCTGCTGAAGGTTCTGTTCACAGAGCACCCGCCACGTGCCAGGCAGGTGTAGGCACCCTGTAGGCACCACAGTGAGGACTCCAGGATTTCAGCTCTGGAGGGAGACAGACATGTAAACACACAGCTTGTGGACTGTGAGGGTGTCGGAAATGCACTTTGCCTTCTTGGTGCAGGAGAGTGACTTCTGTGCTTGAATCCAGGCGTCGCGAGATGTGTGTCTGCGTGTGCGTTTAAGGGGCCTGCTTTCCCCTGTGGAACGTTAGGCCTCCGACCCACTCCCCCTGCCCCGACGGAAGCAATAACCACAGCCACGCTCTTCCTGTCCTTTTCTGCGGGCAGATCCTGACGGCGAGCGGCGACGGCACGTGCGCCCTGTGGGACGTGGAAAGCGGACAGCTGCTGCAGAGCTTCCACGGGCACGGGGCCGACGTCCTCTGCTTGGACCTGGCCCCCTCAGAAACCGGAAACACCTTCGTGTCTGGGGTAAAGACCCAAAGAACATCTCTAGGGGCCCTTTGTCCACTAGGGAGGCCTGTGGTGGCAGTTCTTGCCCGCTCATGCGACTAGACCGGACACTTCCCTAGAGGGGCTGCAGGAATTGTCCTCGCTCCCCGCCGCACCCCCTGCGGCAGTGGCCGCGCTGGCTCCGGGCCCCTCCTGGGTGCTGGTGGGCAGTTTACAGTGCTGGGCTGTGGGGGCCTCCTTCTGTTCTACCACTGACATTCACCAGTCTACAGAGGAATCTAGAATGTTCTCCCATGTGAGGGCTGCAACTCAAGGCGCATAGCTGCCATCTGTTAAAATGTCACTCCTTAAATAAATAGCAGAGAGTTAGCACCTGAGGGCATCAGAGGCGAGCCACAGGGTCAGAGGGCTGCTGAGCTGGGGCAACACTGTGCTGTGACCAGAGCACTCTCCCACCCCACCCCTGCCGCCCACCGTCCTCCCTTCCCCAGGGCGCAGGGAACAGAGAGTACTGGCTCGGAGTTGGCAGACGTGGCCACAGTGGCACAGCGGAGCACTAGACCAGGAGGCAGGGTACCTGGGTGGGAGCTTTGCCACCTGACTAAATGTCGTCATCTGTACACTGGGCACAGGGCACAGTAGCACTTGCCCCCCACCCCTGGGACATTACGGGCAGGACATGGAAGAGCTTCCGGTGTGTTTTGCCAACGGAAGGGGTGAGCGCTTCTGTGGACAGCCAGGGATAAGGACAGAGGATGAGCTGACTGACCAGCCCCCAGGTCCTGCCTCACCTCGGTCAGGGGACAGTGCTGAGATAGGACAGTGATGCACGTGCTGTCAAATGACTTTTGCTGCTGGGAGACATAAGGGAGTCAGGCTGGGGCTGTGTGACCTCTGATCGGCGAGGACCCTGACTTTCTTCTGGAGTCTTTGGCCATCTGTGTGTTTCCTCCCTGTGCCTTTGCATAACTGTACTTATTTCTCCTCAGCTACACTGTTTTTTTTTTTAAATTTCTGATATTATCATAGATTTTATTGTCTCTCAGAGCACTAAACTTCATCCAATTTAGTGTCCTCTAAAGATTTGAAGACACTCCTGATGTCTTCGCCCACGTTCTCAGTTTAGATATGCAAAGTGCTGGACCCCACAGGGGTCTCTGGGCCTCTCTTGGGTGCCAGCTATGGTACTTCATCCACCCTTTGCTCTGAGTGGAAACCAACAACATGGAAACCAATTTTAAGCCATTACTTTTTGACTATTTAAGCCATTCCATTTGACTGTTGAGAGTTTACATTATACTACCCGAGCTTGATGGCAGGGCTGTTCCACAGGAATTTATCAAAATGCTCCCAGCACCTGGATAGTATAATGTGAAAAACCTCACGTTTATGATTCTCTGGACCGTGTTAGCAACCCGAAGGGAACGTTTACTTTAGAGGTGTTGAAGCAGAAGCCCAGGGAGGTGACTTCCCTAAGCCACCCAGCAGTCGACGGCAGGACTGTGACGAGGCCCGGGGTTTGCGCGTTGCCCACACGGCTTGCTGCTGAGGGTGGAAGTGGCCCAGGGCACCCGGTGGTCCGCCATTGTCCAGGGCTGCCCCATACACCTCAGACAAAGTGGGACGTTGGCTGCTCATACTTGGCACCGCCAGCCTGTTCATTAGTGTCCCAGCCAGGGAGGCCCCGCCATGCACACTGTCCACCCGCCTTGCCCTCTGGGCCTCAGGAGGCAGACGTAAAGAGGAGAGAGAAAGGAGGGGAAAAAGAAGGGAAGGGGCGTGCCCAGGAGGGACGTGAGAGGGGGTCTGGAGGGTCTGCCTCTACTCGGAAACGTGCAGAAGAAGAAAACATGCTAAAGGGGGAGGCTGGGCACCTTCCCATGCTCCCTCTCATCCCAAGACCTAGTTCTAGGCTTCTAAGGGTTTACTAGCTGAGGAAAGTGGCCTCAGGTAAAGCTAGTCTCAGAAAGGTGTGTTGTCAGCCACTTACTAACGGGAAATGAATGGTCTCTGTTATATGACTGGGACTCGTACCTTGTCTATAGACATTCCTTGCAGCGGCCGTAACTCTGGGTAATTTTACATTTGTAGGGATGTGACAAGAAAGCCATGGTTTGGGATATGCGCTCCGGCCAGTGCGTGCAGGCCTTTGAAACTCACGAATCTGACATCAACAGTGTCCGGTCAGTGAGTAGCATGTTCATGTCACTTCCCTGTTCTGCTGGCATTACCTGGCCTTGTGGAATCCTTAGTCCTAGAACCACCTCCAGACTCAGTTTACTTGGCTGAAAGAGGCCTCGCTCTCAAGAAAGGCTGATTTGTGGTAGAACTAAACAGTGCTCCAGATCTCATGGGGGATTTTAATTTAATTGCATTAGGGGCAATTGATATCCTCCCTAAATTGAATCGGTATTTCTCATCCATGCTTTCAAGAAACATTTATCGAGTATTTGTATGCTATATATTATTCTAGGAACTGGGAATGCAGTGGTGAATGAGATAGACAAGATCTCTATTCTCCTAGAGGAGACAAACTAGACAAAACACAAACAAATATAAACTTAAGATTACTGGTAAGTGCTATGAAAAAAGTAAAATGGAGGTGTGATGGAATGGGTTATTTGTTAGGTAGAGGTCAAGAATGGCCTCTCAGAGACAGGGACATTTCAATTGAGAACAGGATGATGAAAGAGCCAGGCTTGCAAAGAGTTGGGGGAAGAGCACAGATAAGATGTTATGAGACCTAACAAAAGGCCAGGTGGCCACTGGAGAGTTTTGAGTTGTGGAGGTGGCTAACATGATCATGTTTTGCCTTTAAAAGATCACTATGCCTGTATCAAGAATAGATTGTAAGGGAGTAAGAATGGAAGTATGACAGCCAGTTATGATAGAAGGTTGTTGTGTGAGTTCAAGAAAGAAATGATGGTGGCTGGAACTAAGGAAGATGTGGTACAGACAGAGAAATGTTCTGAATTATGAAGGGTCTGAGATTTTACCTACCTGCAAGTTAACAAGTTAGGCTGCCACAGCTCACGGATGCTGTTAGAGGACATGAAACTTCTGGGTCAGAGATAAAGAGTTTATTACTCATAGCAATGGCAATGGCCAGGGTATTAGCATGTTCATGTAGGTTACTTGAGCCCTGGTTCCACAGGGTGCCATGAAAAGAGCCAAATGACACCTGCAAATGAAAAAGGATATATTATAAGAGAAGAACCCTGAGCTTAGGGAACGCAAATTTTTTATCAGGGGTAGTAAGCAGTGATCCATTTACTAAGACAGGGAAGAGTGGAGGGGGAAGTGCAGGGAGGAGATGGTTTTTGCACATGGATTCAGGAGCTCTTTGGGGGCTAGTTAAGTTTGAGATGACTATTGTATCTCCAAGTGGGGATGTCAAGGAGGTAGCAGGATCTATGAATTGGACCTCAAGAGAGAGGTCAGGACTTGACATGTATGGAAGATGGCACTTTGAGACCATGTATAAAGTATCTTCATTATACTTAGAATCCCCAAGAACCTTCGCTATACTTAGTGAGAAAACACTAGACTTGTTCCTCTTAAAGCAAGAGCAAAATAATAATGCTTATGTACCTTAATAACCCCTGCCCTCAATTGTGGGATAAGGAAAAAGGCTATCACTTTTTGTAAATGTTCAGTAATTTCCTAGAAGATCAAAGGAAATCAATCTGGGAATTACTACAGATGGTAAATGAAATTAGTAAGATGCAAGACAGAAGATAAAGCCACAAGAAATAAATTAAATCCCTATATATCAATAAAGCACACAGTTGTCTCTTGATAACTGTGGGATTGGTTCCAGGACCTCCCGCGGATACCAAAATCCGAGGATGCTCAAGTCCCTGATATAAAAATGGTGTAGTATTTGCATGTCACCCACGCACATCCTAAATCATCTCTAGATCATTAATACTTACAATACCTAATACAGTGTAAATGCTATGTAAATAGTTGTTATACTGTATTGTTTATGAATATGACAAGGAAAAAAGTCTGTACATGTTCAGTACAGATGCAACAATCCATATTTGTTTCCAAATATTTTTGATCTGTGGTTGATTGAATCCATGGATGCAGAACCCATGGACATGAAGGGCTGAAATACAGCTTTAAAGTGCACATTCTCTTACCCACGCTGTTCTGTTTACCCTGAACCCTCTTCCTCCAATGTGTTTTAGACCATCAAGTCTCCACTTAGTTTTGCCTCTCTCCAGGAAGCCCCCGGTTCCCAGTGCTGAGGTGGGTGCCCTCCTGTGTAAGAGGCCAGTTTACTCCTTCTCCTCCACTGAGGAAGTCAGAGAGGGAAATAAAACCTATGGTGGTAGCCAAACTTTAAATATTTATGAATTCTTAAAGGCATAAATAAAAGAATATATTGTTAAATGGAGAAATAAACCCGATTCTCTATAGGAAGGACTAAATGTAACTTTTCAATGGCCATTCTTTCTATATGGAATGAATACAGTTCCAATTCAGTTATTTTATAGAATGGTATAAATTGATGCTGAGATTCATCTGACAGATTCTACAGGGACTGGTTCAGTGGGCCATGTTCAGGGTACATGGTTTTCTTCCAGGGCAAGCTGAGGTCACACTGAATGCTGTCACTGGTCTCTTAGCATGCCCTCAGTTATACACTAGATTAGTTGAACATAGGATAACAGTGACTTAAGCAAGATAGAAGTTTATTCTCACACTGAAGTCTGAGCTGCTATGATGGCTCATTCTGTCTTTCTGCAACCCTTTTCCTAGCGTGGTGCTTTCAGCCTGCTGGCCCCACTGGCCTACCTACCCCCATGTCTTCTTTCCAGCCAGTGGGCAGAAAAGAGTTGAGCTTATCGCATCTGCTTACATCCCATTAGCCAGAACTTGATCACATGGCCACACCTGGCTGCAGAAAGACTAGAATGTAGTTTTCCTTCTGCCATGTGCCCAGAAAAAAAAAAAAATCAGTGTTTCTCAAAGGGGCACACTATTAGTATTTTTGGCAGGACATTTCTTTATTGTAAGGGGGTATCCCACGTGAGGCATTAAGCATCCCTGGCTGCCTCAGCCACTGAATTCCAATAGCACCCCCTGGGCTTCGTCACATCTAAAAATTTCTGCGTATATTTAACCACAGCTACAAGAGAGAGAGAGGGTAGATGCTGGGGACACCAAAAGTCTCTTCTGGATAAACCATATATCCTACACTTGATCCCTGAATTTTCAGGGAAAAATCATAGCCCATGTAGTCTCAAGTGGAGTATCATCTAGAAATCATTTTAATTTAACATTGGAGTGTGGTATGTATGATACTCCTTGAATTCATGTTGCTTTCAAAGACATAATGTGCCCGCACCGTGGTGGACTGAGCTGAAAATGGTTAGCATTTCTCTTCCAGCCTTTCTCTTCTGCATCCCCTTCTTTCAGACCAGTGTAAGTTACACAAACCTTCCCTCTCCTTTGCCTGATGTTTTGACTCTCACCTCCCCCAGGTAGGAGAGGTAATGCCATAAGCTGTTCTAAAAGGCCTCCTCCTGCAGCTTTAGGGAGCAATAAGGTGTAGATCATCTGTTCAAGGAAGGAGAATCAGCGGAAGGCGTAGGGGCTGCTGCTGGTGTGGACAGAGTGAAGGGGTTTAAAGACTTTTGTTCCCATCCTTCCCCTGGTTTATAATCCAGTACCCGCACTTCCTACTGGTCCTAGAGAAGAGAATGACCATAGCAATCATCATCATCATCATTTATTGAATGCTTTTTATTTGGCACCATGCCAAATTCTTTGCCTGTACTATCTCATTTAATATTCACAGGAGGGAAAATGCTTTATTATCCTCACTTTTCAGATGAGGAAACTGAGGCTGGGCAAGATGAAGTCACTTTTCACTTGCCAAAAGTATCACATGAGTAAGTGGTCACTGCAGACCTCTGCATGTGGCTCTGGACATCGGATTTCAGTGTCTGTGTTCATAACCACTTGCTTATCCCTGAGCTCTGAGCCACGTCTTGGGAATTAGATATGTGCATTTACACGGGGCCCACTCTGTGTTCAACGCCTGATGCAAATACACATATCATCTTACAATCCTCACCAACACTCTGCAAGGCCAGTGTCACTGTCCCCTATTTACAGAGAAGAAAACTAGAGGCCAGTGAGCCTCCCCTTCTGGCTTCTGCAGCAAATGTTCCTTGAGTCCCTAGAAGTGGAGATTCTGGTTCCAAGGGCCTACCGTGGGACAACCTTCCCACATGGTTATGATGGGCACCCCGGCCTGGGAACGACTGCTCTAGATACAGTGATTTCTGCCCTAACTTTCTCTCTGCAGATACTACCCGAGTGGAGATGCCTTTGCTTCAGGATCAGATGACGCTACGGTATGTTTCTAAGTTATTAAGAACTTTTCCTGCTCAACAGAGAGATTTGCTAACTTAATTTTATTCTTTAAAAATATTTTTTTCTGT